TCGGCAATAGAGAACAGTAAAACATTTTCCTCTTTCATTTTGTCAAGGCACTTATTATTAACGAGGAAAACAAATAAACAAATAAACTTTCGGAATCAATTCCGAATTATCAAACTAAGACACATGACAAACGATTTGAAATTGAGACAGGTTCGTTTAAAGTTACTCCTCACTCTCAAACCATCAATGACAACGAACAGCAGTGGCTAGATAATTATTTGAAACGCAATTCAATTTCCCATTTCGACAACTTTGTCATTCCTCGCATTGATAAACAATAAACTCACTTTACTCGCGTAGCGAGTGTACACTGCTAGTAGTAGAAATTTGGATTTTTAAGAATTTAGAAATTTTTAAGTATTGAACTTTAGAAATGTGGAGATTGAAAGATTTGAGGATTTGGAAATTTGGAAACTTGTAGATCTGAAAAATTTTCAAATTTATAAATTCGGAAATTTGGAGAGTGAAAAATTAAAAAATTAAGAAATCTTGACATTCAGAATTCCAAAAATTAGTAAATAATAATAAGCAGTATGAAAGAAGCTCTTTTAATATGTCCCTTTCCCCACTTCTTTCGACTCCTGTAATTTCGCCACGAGTCATATAGCAAGACTAATGACACTATAACATGATCCAAAAATTTTGTTGTTCGACTGTACATCTACCAGCCTATTCCAAATTCAGACAGAGAAACTCGTGGGTGGAGAAGAGGATTGCGCATTGGTTGAAACTGCAAGATAAATAAACCCGGTGTTAATAAAGTCTTATCGGCATGCAACCATGCGTGTAGACTTTAAGCCACGGACGCACTAATCCTCTATGCTAATTTCGGTTGGCCAGGAGAACGACTTTAATGCCACCCCTTCGAACACGCGTATCCGTGAGAGCGAATGCGACCACGTACAAAGAGGGCGGTATTTGTATCTGGTCAGTGGAAAACAGAGATGTGTATTTAAATGCTGCTGAGTTAAAACTTGAATCTGCAATGAGATATATGTTCATGTTTTCATACAAAATAGTTCAAAGTATAATAAAGTTTCGATTTGTGCTCTCTGAACGTTCACTTATGGGTACTAACATTAAACTCTAAACGGTCACACTTCATCAGAATAACATACCTGGCACATTGGGACGTCTAAGACCCAAACCACTAAAAATGTTTTTTAGAAAGAAGCTATTGTCAAGCACCGTTGATTTATTTATTTAACTGTAATACATTACATACGTTCAACATACAAACAATCTTCATCTCTTACAATTTGATGACATCTACTTTTCTGCTATTGAATATCGCATTTCAGAAACTTGAAATCACATTGCTCGGCAGAAATTCGCGACTAATAATAGTATGCACAGATAGAGTGTACAGCATGATTCAATGTTTATTTCTATTCAGCAAGCCATAATAAGAAATTACGAGACAGAGATAAAGTAATATCAACAACCAGAGATGGCAAGGAAGTGTTCGACCATTTCCTGAAAGTAAATTATTTTCCATCACAATTCGCTTAACCCAGACTATAAATGACCTTCAGAATGTAAGTAAAAAAATACCTTTTGATTTTTAAAAATGGTGATAACCTCCATATCTCCGAAGTGCTTCCACTTGAACAAAAATTATTATCGCTATATAATAGACCACTTCGTACTGCACAATTTTGGTTACACTAATCTTTCTCTAGGTCTTATACATTCGAAGATACTTAACACATTCCGTGCCACGTGTACCATTTGTGGTACACGTCAAACTTGATCTACAGGCCACGTGCACCATAAATGGTACACGCAGATATATTCATTTAATCCGCCAATAACATATGTTTTATGACAAATTTAATTCTATAAAATATATTTCCACTAAAAGAATGAGGTATTAAACAAAATGCAGTATAGGACAAAGCACATAAATTTGTTTATTTGTTATACAGGGTGTATAAAAAAGGTCGAAACCCTTGAATATTTCGAAAAATATAAGTTTTATCAAAAAATGTTTCAGACAAAAGTTGTAGGATTTAAAAAGTTCTATTTACTGGCAATATCATTTTGACCTTGAAGAGTCACTTCTTTGCCTTGCTACTTTAGTACCATACTGTTTTACTGTTTTAAATTAAAAGATGAAAGAATAAACTAATGAAAGGCAACAATAGAAACATGTTTTCTAACAGAAACAAATGAAAAACAAACAATGTTTTCTCTGCATATATATATCAACCGCCTCTTTTGTTAGATATTCTGTTTTCTAACAAAAACAAATGAAAAACAAACAATGTTTTCTCTACATATACATATATACCTACCGCCTTTTTTGTTAGATATTCTATTTCCTTCGCTTTGTACTTAACAATTCTGAATACAACAGGTTCTCTTTACTAATTGAAAATTTGCAAACTGATTGACTTTCACAGTCGAAATGATCGTAGCGCCACGTGTACCATTAATGGTACACGGTGTCACAACTACTCTAAACAAGCTAATAACTTATGGATTGATGATGTAATAACATATTGTGTGACAATATATCAATTTTTAGTCAAAACAGCGAATGGCTTGGAGATCATGTTGGGCAAAAACGGCGTGGCACGAAACGTGTTAAGGAGCTAATAATTATTACTTCACCATGTATACTGATTGTTTTAATAAACAATTGATAAGACAACATTTACTTATAAGTATTTATAGCACTTATAACGTACATTAATAATCATTTAATATATTTGTAAGTACATTTGAATGTTTATGTGTTCAAAATTTGTCTGTATTACTTTATCAGTGTTCTGTCAATTTTCTCATCCTTGTAAGAAGAAAAAATACTAATCTCGTTCATATTTCTCAGAAGATGTACACATAATCCTTGAAGAAGCAGTCACATCGTAACTTGTATGATTCCCAAATGCAAAATTAAAATTACAGGGAAATTGTATTTGCAATAATTAATACATATATTTCGATATCTGTATTCAAAACGTTTATTATAAACATTTTAGTTTATTGTTACAATATATGTATAAAATACGTGTATATGTTTCAGTAACATACATGATCTATAAATCCTAATTATAATTAATATCTTTTCACCCGAATTTTGCTTACCTCGTAATTTTTATTTTATTATAATTAACGTATATGTAGAGTTGAAAATATTAGACTTGCAACTAAATTCGTAATCTTTTATTTATTTTGCTTTAAAATTCTTCAGAGTTTATAGTAGAGTATTCAAAAATTTAACAAAAATGTAGAAAATATTATTAATTCGACTGATACTTAAAATGTTATTTGTTAATTTTTAATAAATAATTTTATGAGTACATTATACAGAATTTAGTTGTGAATCTAATATTTATTATCAAACACTTATAAAGACTATAGGAAAATTGATTTTAAAAAATAAGATATTAAGAACGAACGAAGCTAACAAATAGACATTCAGACGTTGATATTTTCATTCCGATTCTAAATTTATTTAATGAAAGACCATTAGCAGATTTATTTATCTAACAGTAAGATACACTTATCTTGTAATTTCAAAAAGAAACAGCCTCTAACAGTTCCGAATAAAGTAAATGGATTTTACAGAAATCAATTTTCAAATCTTAATGAAACCACTTTTTTTCAAATTTTGTTTACTGCTTTTTAAGTATTTCATTTCAATTAATTTCAAATTGTAATAAAATTATAACAATTAATGAATATTTAGTAATTATTCGTAGTGAAAGACTTTCATTTATTTCTTGTACATATTTTTTCTTCGCACACCACGTTCTTACTTTGATTTCGTAGATGTAAGTACTAAATGATATTTCAAAATAAATAATTTTAATAAACAATTTTGCAATTAAACGACGATAATAATGTGAGTACTGTCTTTATTGTAAATAATGAATTTATAATTTCAAAAATCCTCTATTTATAATTTCATTGAATTGTAAAATGTAGTTTAATAGACACAAATACCTAAATGAAAACAGCAAAAAAAAGAAAATTTAAGACAATGTGACAGCAGTGAGATTTGAACTTGTAACCTCTTCTTTTAGAACAGAATATTTGTCACTGAACCGCGACACGCTATGGAGTTGTTTTCTGTACAGTCCATTTGTTCCATTTGAAATTTTTAGATGCTGTTTTTCTTGAAATCAATTGGAAAATATATTTTACTGCTTGGACAAATAAATCTGACGATAATTTTCCATTACTGCTAGATCTACCAAAGTTCAATGACTAGTTACTATTAAATTGAAGATGAAGTACGAAAATCAATAAACAAGCGATGGAACTTAAAATAATTTAAATAATTATTTTTTATTTCGATAGAAATGCGTTTTAAGAAAAATACTCTAATAATTTTTATGATTGAAAATAACAAATCTACGATCCGTCACTTTGTATTCTAAATTTGTTTACAGAGGACCTCGTGATCATCAGAACACCAATTTTATTCATGCAATTACATATTGCACAAGCAATAATAATTTTGAGAAACCATAGCACGCAACACCCTAAAGTGAAAGAATGATTCTAGAAACTGAGAAAGAATACTGCTTCTTTTGAAAAAAAAATAGGAAAAGAATGATATGGTAGAAATAAAAATTATGTGGTATAATATGTTCTAACTTCCTATGATCTAATCTTTTATACAGATGCACCAATACAGTAATATTTGGCGTTTCATGTCAGAAACTTACTTTATTACATTGTAATCGAAATCCTTTTATATTAACGATTTGAAGCGTAACAAAATGCATTGTTCAAAAGTAAGTGCAAAGCAACTGAAACATGTAATGAAAAATGTAGAAAACGCGTTATAAAATATTAGTGGTGGAACATTCGAACACTTATTATAAGTACGTTTCTTATAATAAAATATCAAATATCTCGCGAAATATTGACATTTTGATGACCATGACTCTTATACGTATTATAGAATAATAGAAATCGATTGGTCTAAAAAAAAAAAACTGTATTGCATTAATGAATATAATTAAATAAAAAATGTAAATCCACCATATAAATGTAAGTCCACATAAAATAATTTTTGTATTTTTACTTCAAAAAGAACATCAACCCCGTTCTATGGATCACCCTGTACATGAACAAAAGTAAAAATCGAAACAGGAATATCAACGTCCAGGCCTCTCGCAAGTGGAAAAAGATTAAAATATGTAACATTAATATTGATCAGGTTGTCAGCTAAATTTTAATGAAATCTCAATCATGATTATGTTCTTGCGAGCCAGGTCGCGTCGTTGCGTTGTGTCGATATTACGCGGAACAAAATATAATGCGTTTCGATCCGGATGAGAACAGCATAGACGAAGAAAAAAGAATTCAGCTAAAAGCATTCCTACGAGCAAAATGCAAACTGACTGGGATATACGTAAATTTTACTGTTCTTTCATGCGTGTCCTTGATTCCCGATGTATCTATATGTGTTTTTCTAATGCGCTCGTACGCTACATCGGTTATTTCCGTTCTGACATTTTCACCGGATTATTTACTACGTACAATAAATATTTTTTCGAGAATGATCGAGTTCGATGGCTGAACGATAGAAAGCGGAACGTACGACGTTTACAGCTGTTTTCTTGTAGTTCTTAAAATAACCTGTTAACAGAAATTAATTATTGTTTGTGTGCAAGCGTGGATTTAACCTTAACGCTCCAAGTGCCTCTCAGACATCACCGATATCCATCATTACATTACTCAATTATAATTAATATAAATATTGTAATTAAAGTTATATTATTTCTGAGATGAATAAAGATTGTTTTGAATGACTTTAATATTATTATTTACACATCATTGTAGCAGTTAAAACCTAACACCTAAAAACTTGCAAGTCGAAGTATGATGTCGATATTCACAATTAAAAATTGGAGCATTGAGGGTTAATATCTGGAAAGTTTGTTCATTAATGGAAATATACACATTTGTATTTACAATTATAAAAATGTAACGATATGTTAAAGATATTGATTCATGGACAAAGTATCTTTTGATGCTAAAACTTCCTGCTCTCATAAGTTCGTCAAATTACGATTAATTTTTACTTCTCTACAATTATATTTGACGTTTTATTTGTGTAAATAGTGTTAATATTTTGACTTAACAAATCAATTATTTCTGAAATATGTAAAAAAATATTTATATAAATGCGTGTAGGTTTTGGCTTAATTTTGCAAGTCACCATTTTTAGAAACTTTAAATAATCATAGAATGAATCCTTTATAAAGATCATAACATAAAGCATGTTTTTACATTGAGCATAAGAAATATAATAATCACCTAATAGAAACTCGTTTTATTTAACCAAAGTGAGATATTTTTAATTTTATGTAATATATTAAACAATATGTAATATATTATAACTTTATCCTGTAGTGATTAATTACAACTTACTCAAAAATTTGAATTTGTTTACTGACCTTAACTTATGCTATTCGTTGCATCATTAGTCCGCCTTCTTTCTAAGATATGATTTCTTATAGTAATCACAAAACATATAGAACATTATAAGAATTTGAGACATGTAGATGAAAGCCATGGGTTTCCGATTTGGCTCGCAGGAAGGTAAGAATGATTGGAAGGTGTGGCATATCATGATAATAAACTGAATCTGAAACCAAGAAACATTTTCAACTTTGTATATAATTTATACTTTGAAATATTTGTGATTCTTTCCAGTTAAAAAGAGATAGAGACAAATAATTTTTTGCAGTATAATTGTTATTGACTTTAACCAAAAATTTTGTCCATAATTATTCAGAGTAATTGAATTTTGGAAGTTATAAATATTCAAAACATCAAGTTTACAGGTTATATTATAAATTTACAAATTTACGAATCTTAATTATCTTAACTTTTCAATTTTTCAATTTTTCAATTTATCAATTTTTCAATTTTTCAATTTTTCAATTTTTCCAAAATTGTAATTGAAAGTTAAAAATTTTGGAAAGTCGTAATTCTTATATTTGTAAATTTATAATTTTCTAAGTTTTCAAATTTCCACATTTCTAAACATCTTTTAGCTTTGAGAATTGAATGGTTAGAAAATATAAAAATTGGATGTTTTTATATTTTTAAAAACCAAAATTTCTAAATTTGATAATCTTGAATTTCCATTGTTCTGTTATGCTCATTTGTAGTATATCATGCATGTATCGTATTATTAATAATTTTAATGAATTAATTCCTAATATATTACACTACATACGTAATATACATTATATTATGTTATATGATAATTATAACGTATTCTATACTATAATAATATATTATAATATTTACTGCATATGCTATATTATATACTAATATTATAATTACAACATGATAGACTTATATTTTACATATAATATATCATGTATATCAAATATCTAATATATTATACATATATTATACTACGTGAGACATATATGTATGTTCTCCTCACCGCCATACGACTTTCATTTGAGACATTTCTTTTCATTTCCGACGCGTACAGAAATAATCACGTATGTCCTTAAAGCTGACATACCCTGAACGTTATCACTGCTTCATCACAATAAATCAATAGAATTAATTACTTTTCAAACGAATTTTAAAATATTAAAAAGGTTCGAGTCAGATATTCGTACACCCGATGAAAGCGAAAATATAAAGTCAAGGAAATAATCGTTTCAAGAGCAAAACGCGAAACGAGAACCACGTTGTTCGCGTACGACAGAGCTTAATAAGCTCTCTCGTTCGCAAAATGACACTTTACCCTGTCGCAGTCCTCTTCAATCCCCCCGATTCTGCATCGCATGATATAAACGCTTTGCATGAAATTAAACGACCACGTAACCCGATAAATCGTTCCGTCGATATCTCGCCAGAAATAAAAGTTCTCCGTCGGTGAATTATTTAATTAAAAACGTAACCTCTTCCACCCTTCCTCGCCCAACCGGTTTCCATCCTCTCTCCTCGATAACTACCCCCCACACACTCGACTCGTTATTCCTGCTAGAACCCGAACGCAAAATCAAATCGCGCTAGTACACGTGTAATTCCACATCCGGTACTTACGACCTTTTCAACCCTCGTGAAAAGCCGGTTATCGAGTTAGGAAGGGCGAATGGCGTATACGGGCCAATATACGCATTCCACAGCAAACGGGATATGTTTTTCGTGCTCATCGACAAAACATATTGCGCCTCTTAAACGGAGATTCGCTGGCTGAAGGCGTGGCCAGGTTTCATTGTTTCGCCAGATCTCGAACGATAGCGCGAGCAGCGTTTTATTCGTTTATCCGTGATTCCACGGTTGAATGTCGAATAGAATGAAATTTTGCTCGAGTAATAACGTCGGTTGAGCGCGAGAGGCGAAGGTGGGCGAATAAGGGTGATTTTTCGCCTATAGTATGGCAGATAAAAAGACCTTTCAATATGCGAAACGTTATATTCAGTTTTGTAAAGTTTTGTAATGTTTCCAATGCAATTGCGCTGCTGCTGTAGTGAATCAAATTGGCACGTTTCAATTTTTATTAATATTGAAGTATCCTATTAACACTGTGTTAAATATACAGGGTGGCTCACCACATTTTGTCATCTAGATTTGCGTCATTATTATTACTCATAGCAAACAATGTTTTAGATGAAGTTGAATGGTTTTGAAAGGGGCATATGCTGGTGGTATATACTTTTTTGTAGGTAGACGTATAAAGGACATGTGAAGGTCATTAATGTTTTTTTAAGTGGAATCATATATTTTTTATTGCATCAGCTGATACTCCTTCATATTCTTTACAAAAAAATATTAATCTATTTATATGAAAAAATCATTAGTTTAGGAGATATTTTAATTTTAATGTCTATTTAGAGAAAAGGTTCAATGTAGCGACCATTTGCATCAGAACGCTTTCTGAATCGAGAAATTAATGACTTACTAACATTCCGTAGTGTATAATCTTTTTGCATCCAGCTTCAAAATAAACTGATAACATGTCTATCTTTTCTTCTTTAAAATACTTCATTATGAAGTGATAATTCACCGTATCGTCGTATTCATCGTATTAGAGACGTAACAGAGACAAAATTTCACTGTTACTGCGTAACAAAAAGAACTCACAATTCGTTTGGTGACACGTGACCTCTCAAAGCATGTAGAAAACGTTTGCTGTTCAGTTAGGGCAATTCACAATATTGACCAGAAAGTCATAATTTCCTAACAAGTTAGAATTAAAATATCTCCTAAACTAATGATTTTTTCACATAAATAGATTAATACTTTTTTGCAAAGAATATGAAGGAGTATCAGTTAATGCAATAAGAAAAAATGTATGATTCCATTTAAAAAAACATTAATGACCTTCATATGTCCTTTACACGTCCACCTACAAAACAAAATATACCACCAACATATGCTCCTCTTAAAACCATTCAACTTCATCTGAAACATTGTTTGCTGTGAGTAATAATAATAACGCAAATCTATATGGCAAAATGTCGTGAGCCACCCTGTATACAACATGTTATATATCTTTATCGTATATTAGCTGTATATACGACACTAGTGTGACGTGTACTACCAAAATATATTAGTTAATCCCTTAACCTACAATTTTCACAGCTAGCTAGTTATTGCTACAATACAACGTCAAGACAACTAAAGGAAGTTAAAATGTTAGATACATTATACATTCATGATCATTGATTACGGAGATTACAATGAGAATTGAACGAAAAATTTAATTGCAGTGAAAATACGAATCTAGTTTATCACATTCAAACTGTAGTGTGCGTCACGAGTGTGACACGTTATTGCAGAACAAGGGGTTAATAATAATATAATCATAAAGGAAATTATAAAGAAATAACGAACATTTTATATAATTGTACATTTGCCAATTTTCATGTATTTTTTATATTTTTTAAAATGACGTGATGTAGCATGTGCTATTGATTTCTTTTAATGTCAATGTTAATTGAAATTCGTACATTGTGTGCTTCGATATACATAATAAATTTGATTGATAATTAGTACGTGTCCAACTAAATATATGTATAACCTGCGATAAATTAATTAGCTGAAGTATGTAATTGATTAACTGAAATGCATAATTAATCAAATTGTAGTTCTGTTGATGATCAATAATTTTTGTGAAATGTGGTTTAGGTAATAATTAAATTGCAATCACTGAATGATTTTGTAGTTGAAAATTGAAGTTTGATTCTTAATTAAAACTTACTAAATTAAAGGTTAAAAGTTAGTTTCATTAATGGATTTTCAGTTGATTATTGAAGAATAAAAGTTTAATTTTTAATTCGGTTGCACTTGATCAATGATTAGAATTTATTTTTTAATTAAACTTTTCAGAACTGAATTTGGGAAAAGAAGTGGGAGAAAATTGAATTTGATTCTTTGCTAAAATGGCTCCTACCCACCTACCTTTTCAAAGTACGCACTATATTCAAATATTTTAGCAAAGTTTTTACTATAAATTACGAAGTTGATAGTTATTCTGTTTTCCTTATAATCATTTATCATCTGCAAAAATTTCACTTTTCTAATTGTAAACTGTGTTATAAATGACAAATTGTGTGCAGCTAGTCAAATTATTAGTAAACACAGTAGCCACTCAATAATTGCTTGCTTTCGGGGCTAAAGAAATGAATCTATTTAACGAACTGAGAATTATCGGACACTATTCGCTTCATACATACGATTTAAGTACGAATCAATTTTACATTCATTGTAGTCTTCAACATTATTCAAACAATGTGTTTAAAAAGTCAATAATTACATAATATTTTAATTTTTGAGTTTAAATCATACTTTAAAAAATGCGTTATTACATATTAAAAAATGTTGACGTATTTGATATCCTATATTTGCCTCTTTCGCGTCACATTATATTTCTGTTATCTAAAGCAAGTGATACATTTAAAATGCCATATAAATGTCTATATTTATATATTCTACGTAGCAAATAATAGAATCAAGTATAAAATGGAGGCATACCATTTGTAGTCCTGTGATGTATTGTTTTAAAGGTGCGATCCTCTTTTGCATTTCTGGGCCAACGCAAGCGAGCAAATAATAGGTGTACATAATTACGTGAACGAGACTATTTATCATAATCGTAAACGTCCACATACCCCCTACGAATAATATCAGAATTAAATAAGAATATACAAAATATTAAACAACATTAAAAATACGAAATACAATTAAGTCATATAACAGAATCAAAAAGATAAACAAAAGCTATATAATATTTTACAAATGTAAACAATACTTTCATCATTGTCAATAATCTGAACAGAAATTCTTTACAACGATGCATATATTATCAAATAAATATAAATAATGCATTTTATACTTTTTACTAAAAAAACATGAATTTAATTCAAGAAAAAAAAATGATCTGCTTCATCAAGTAAGCAGTAATTGTCCTTTATTAACATAATATTTCAATGACTTGTATAGTTAGTTATAATTAAAATAACTTTTGAAAATGAATTCAAATTTCTGATAACATTATACAAAACATAAACGTTTTACATTATTCATAGTGTAAATGTAGTTTAAAAGTATATAAATATACGAACAATCAATAATATGAAATTGTATCTTAAAAACAGAAAAATATCAAAAATAAGAATTAGTTTCGATCCCTTTAACTTATAAAGCTATAGCTGTTTTATTTTAAAAACCTTATCCTTAAAATTTTATAATGGTCACCTTTATAATTAGGTACAATAAACCAAAAAATGAAATCAAAGAGCTAATAAAATTAAAATACTAATTAAAAAAGCACCTAATTAATTCAAATTAAAGGTAAACCATAAGAATGTGCTTACCTGGGACAAATTTACACGCGATCCATGAAAGAAGAACAGTTAATGTATGATGATAGATGTGGAGAAATGACGCTTGATTGTATTTCTTCCTTAAAATAAAAATGACGGTGTCGCTTAACTCGAAAACTTTCAACAGTATGACCCTCCACACCCATCTAGCCATCTATAAGCAATAATATTAGATTTCTAATATTGATATTTGCTTAACATTTTTAATACTCACGCGATAAGACTCGGGATCATATGAAACTATATGAGGCTCGCATCTCAAAGAGTATTTTGTGGTGTAACCTGAAGTAAGTAGCTGTAAATTTACAAATTTCATACATTATTATACAATGATATTATAAGATATATTATTGAATTTGTACCTTCATAATTAATATTATATTTAGTTATTATTTTAATAAATATTTGTGTATTTAAATTTTGCAAGTTCCATGTAGAATATTTACATTCTTAGTGTTGAATTTTTATTTTAATACTGCGTATTCGAGGATTTACACTAAAAGTGAAGATATATTAATAAACCTGTATGCTCTTAATTAATATTCTACTTAGTTGCTATTTCTACACATTTATTTTTTATTAAAATTTTTATGTGTATTAAACAATTAAACTATTTATATTAAAAGTGTTTAATGTATGAAATTCGATAAAAATGATCTGTGTAAGTGTAACAATTTCATTAATTAAATAATAAAAAACTATTAAAAATGCTTCAAAATTATATATTTTAGCATGTTCTTTTATCTTCATTCCATATGCAATTCATTGAAATTCGCGTAAATTTGGAGTTTCTCACTTATTTCCCAAACCCTTCTAATTGTTTCAGGCAATTTGAAATGCAAAATGTAATATAATTAAACCGCAGTATTCAACTTGAAGTTTATATTTGAAACACAGTTACGCTTTTGAATAAACACACTACGTTCACGCCTCTTAATAAATACATTTCTATTTTAACCAAAGAATATTCAGTGACAGTTCTGTATTTAATCATAAAACCAGTTCACTGTTAATTAAACTCAAGCAATTTACAGAATGAACTTGTCAACACATTTTGGTATGAATCTTGTTAATTTAGAACTGGTGATAGTTATTTTAAATTCATACTGTAATTAAATTAATGAAACTTGCAAAATTATTTTATTATTCAATTTGTATGGTTGATTGAAGAATTTGAAAAAGTTTACGGAGTTCAAAACTAAAATTAGTGTTAATTTAAATCAATTAATATTCAAATTAATGGTGAACTTTAGAAGCATTGTTTTTTGTATTATACTCCTACGGACAGGAATGAAGCAATTGGCAATATAGGGAGAGATCCTTCCATACAATATATGTATGAATCTAAATTATATTTGAAAACTAAATAATTCTAGAATAATCATTTTGGAATAATTTTGGGCCGTGTTTTCCTCAATAATTCAAAAAGGAAACTTCAAACCCCATTTTTGCCAACGAAAATCTTGTTCAGAATGACATCATCTACCGCCCCTTTCAGGGAGTAACGTTAGTTACGAGACACCCTGTATATAAATTATTGTATATACATATATTATTGGTATTATTGACATATATACAGTAAAATAGATACACAGAAATAATGAAATTAAATTTAGAATATAAAATTCTAAATTGTAGAATATGTCTGTTTTTGTAAAGTGAAATGGATTAAAAAATTTGTAAATCGTAAAATTTTACAATTTCTAAACTTCAAAATTTTTAAATTACAAAATTTGTAAATTGGAAAATTTGTAAAGTAATTAAAAAATTTTTAATTTTATGTATTTCTTGATTTGGGAATTTACAATGATAATGGAAGTAATTATAATAATAGAACAATTTAAAATAAACTCACCCCATAAAATACAGATCCACTCGCAATTGCCATCAGAATATTATAAAAAATCATAATCCTGTTCAAATTATATGGTTTTCGATTTCTCATATATAAGGGCCCAAGATGAAGGACGAACAACAGATAAAGTGATACAATTGCTAATAATGGAAACGGACTTTTCATTAAAAACCAGTCTGCTACTCTAGGATCTAAAATAAATAAGAAAACACAGATTAATTGCGTACCTTAGCTATAACACATTATAATAAATTTGGTGAAATTTAATAATTAATAAAATATAATATTCCTGAAATTTTTTATTGTTTAATATTATTATCTGTCAAAGTTCTGTGACTCTAAAAATACTTTATATCTGAAATCCATTTAACTATATTTAAAATCAGATGTAAGTAAAAATTCACATCCTGAAGTGAAAAAAAACGAGGAAAGATAGAGTTAGGTCTATATTGACCCACTTACAGGTCATCACAGCTGGCAACCTGTCAAATCGTTAGCATTCGAAGAATTCACACACTCAATAATAAAAAATCTAATATCTAATCATTAATCTAATAATGATTAAAAAATCTAATCATTAGTAGTACTTTTTCAAACATACAAGACCGTGAATTGAATAAAAAATAAATGACTGTAAATTACAAGACTTACCTGCCGCATGTTCCATTAAGTAGCGATACGTTTCTAAGAGTCCCATATTCTTTGAGCAGCGAACACATTCGAAGTTAAATTATGATAATAAAAGAGGAAAGAAATACAATTTACAATTAAATATATGTGAAACAGTGGCTATATTCAAATAACATTAAAATATAAATATTAATGATCGAAATTAAATAAAAAACGTTAGTACACACAAAATATTGTTATAAACATACACACCAATTTTGAAACATGTATAGAAAATATGACGTAATTTGATAGGAACACCATAAAATAACTCTGATGCTATAGGAACTCAAAGTTTAACAAAAATCGCTTCAGTTTTATTGAAACTTGATTAGTAGATGTAACCATTTATTTTCCTTCAAAATTTACATTTAACCAGTTAACTGTGGCGATCTTTTTGCAAAGTGCGCACCAGTGTGTGTCGCGATAATCAAGCGATGACGAGTTAGCTCTCAAGAATTTATGAATCCATCTCAAATCATTTACACTTTTTATTTGTTTATTTCATTTCGTGTTGACCTCTAAACATTTTAAATATATTACAATTTACGAATATAATTTAGTTTTCGCCAAAATTACAATTTAAATATCAAATTATAACAAAATTTTAGGCATGACGGATATAGTCGTCATGACACAAAATTCTGCCACATCTCCATGATGGATATAGTCGTCAAACACACTTAACTGGTTAAATACAATTAAATTGCAAATTGCAAATATATCTTAGAACTTAGAATTTACACCTCACCTTGTGCGCGCGAACTACAATGTCGGTGCCATGTGACAACAAAAAGCACATATTCTTTTCGAATATGTGGTATTATTAGATGAATCAGTGATACGTGACAACAAATATTATAAGACACAAATAGCAATTGAAACTTTTTAAGTATTTCGTTGTGTAATAATAATCGTGGTCACCGTTCGCTGCTATCCGCCATTGCCCCCCTCTCTACCTAAATGTTTCATCAATATTCTTAACACAAATTCACTGCTTGTTCGTTTGAACCTATTTGCAACGAGGTGTAATACCTTGTACTTTTGCTTCATGTATAGTTTCTTCTGAAATATGTTACATAACCTAAAAACTGTTGATTACATATGTTAAAAAATTATCTGAAGAAATTAAAAATTGAATATTAACTTTTTGTGAATATGTACTAATTGAAAATTTAGATAATAACTAATTAAAGTTACTGATTAAGTTAAACTAATTAGAATTTAATTGTAATGCTTAAATAAAGTATAAAATTTGTCTTTGAAACGTAAATGACAGGGGGAAACACTAAAAATGAAATAAATTCGCTTTTAATGCACGATATTTTGGACTTCCTATACTGAATTGTATCTTTATATTTAAATTTATAACATTTTTATAAGCTGAAATCCTCCATTCACTATAATGTAATGCAACCTTTAAATCACAATTAATTAACGTCATGCTTTCTGTGATGTAATTTGCATCATGCGTTTAGGTAACACCTGAAATTTTTTAATAAATAAATAATAAAATATACAATTAAATTGCAAATTGCAAATATATCTTAGAACTTAGAATTTACACCTCACCTTGTGCGCGCGAACTACAATGTCGGTGCCATGTGACAACAAAAAGCACATATTCTTTTCGAATATGTGGTATTATTAGATGAATCAGTGATACGTGACAACAAATATTATAAGACACAAATAGCAATTGAAACTTTTTAAGTATTTCGTTGTGTAATAATAATCGTGGTCACCGTTCGCTGCTATCCGCCATTGCCCCCCTCTCTACCTAAATGTTTCATCAATATTCTTAACACAAATTCACTGCTTGTTCGTTTGAACCTATTTGCAACGAGGTGTAATACCTTGTACTTTTGCTTCATGTATAGTTTCTTCTGAAATATGTTACATAACCTAAAAACTGTTGATTACATATGTTAAAAAATTATCTGAAGAAATTAAAAATTGAATATTAACTTTTTGTGAATATGTACTAATTGAAAATTTAGATAATAACTAATTAAAGTTACTGATTAAGTTAAACTAATTAGAATTTAATTGTAATGCTTAAATAAAGTATAAAATTTGTCTTTGAAACGTAAATGACAGGGGGAAACACTAAAAATGAAATAAATTCGCTTTTAATGCACGATATTTTGGACTTCCTATACTGAATTGTATCTTTATATTTAAATTTATAACATTTTTATAAGCTGAAATCCTCCATTCACTATAATGTAATGCAACCTTTAAATCACAATTAATTAACGTCATGCTTTCTGTGATGTAATTTGCATCATGCGTTTAGGTAACACCTGAAATTTTTTAATAAATAAATAATAAAATATTTATCTTTTTAATACTTCAATCCCTTATATTAATTCTATAATGTGTTTAAGAACTTAATTCAGAAAATAAGTATCCAAAAATTGTTAAGTATTTTGTAAAAAACAGTACGTTGAAATTATTAGTGTTTATTAGGAAGCAATATGTAAAAATTGTTAATATTTAGTAAAAAAATAGTACAGAAAATTTGTTTTAATTTTCAAAGTAATTATATAAAAAATAACTATTATCTAATATCAAAACAGCACAAATTCAACAATAAAAATTGCATTAACCAATTCCATTAAAATAACAAATGGTACGTTAATTTAAATTAATTAAAATTAAATTAAATTAAAACATCAACCACAACAAAGCAATTAAATATTATCTTAAATATTGTCTATACTATTTTGTTCATAATTTATGTTCAAGCTACTTCAACAATTTTTTAATTGTAAAACAACTAGCTTTATTTAAAATTGTTAGTCTTTTTTCTTTCATAATTAAATATGAATAATAAGTTTCGTAATTAAAATTAGACAATACACTATTTAAGTAAAATTAAATAATAATTTTGTAGTTAAATTTAAATAATAAAATTTCGTAATTAAAATTAAATAATAAATTTTAGTATAAGAAAAGTATATTTTATACCATATTTTATTTTTCTGATATTATTTCAAATTGAATCAGAAAGTGACTTTTCTCGTTTAATTAACACGCCCCCGATAAAGATTGTGGGTCACCAGGGGCTTAAGCAGCAGCGCAGGTGTTAAGTTTTAAAGTAGTTAATTCATTGTTCGTTCCAATGAGAAACATATATTGGATTGTCCGGAAAGTTCGTGCCGATTTTCGGTAGGCGGCATGAAAATTTATTTAGAAAAATTTTTCGCTGAAGAACCTGAGACGTTCTGGAAAGAATTCTCAAGTTGCATGAAAGATGGAGAAAGGTTATAGAACAGAATGGCACGTATATAATTTAATAAATGTATACCAAATTTAAATGAACTGCGTTTCAATTTCCTGTCAAAATTGGCACGAACTTTCCGGACAACCCAATATTTTGTATTATAAATATTAAGACGACGTTTATATAATTATTTTCGTCAAATTTTAAACTTCAAGTTGATATGCTATAAGTGCTACACTTTTGCAATAAATTGTTCCTTTTATTTACTAAATACCTAATATAAACAAGTACAATTTATTAACATTATTAACTATCCATTTTTTAAATTTACTTATTAGGTAATTTTTTTATAATCTTACCAATGTTATATTTATTTTAATTCACTACTGCATGCTATATACATCATATTATGTCAATTTTGCGACAAATTTTCGAGAGAATTGATTGTATAATAAAGAAAAAAAGCATAAATCAAAGTAAATTTTTAGTGGGCTTATTTTATTTCAAATTTTATGGCAGCTTGCTTTTGTGAAACTTCGTAGTAAATTTGCTGTAAAAATCATTCCAAATTTTCCCCAAATAAAATACTTTCCATTCAACCATAAATGCGGCTGAAAATCTGAATTACAATATAAATGTAAATATAAGTTTCCATACTGATAGTTCAAACGAAAATTTACATCGACTCGTGTCACGATTTCCATACTTTCTACTTTGATCCTTCAACCCCTTACTAACTTTCCTTCGCTATATTAACAACAATTATTCCATAGTATTTTTAAATTATTTGAAAAGAATCGTTTAACTCGTCACAAGTTCGAATAAATATATTTCATTTATTCTAGTTTGATAAAACACTAATCTTTTACATACTTTTCAATTCATTAACCCTTCCCACTTAAAAGGTGACTTATACATACCATTTTGTTTAATATATTTTGAAATAAGTAGCAGTTAATAATAATTAACAATAGAAAGATAAGTACTTTAATTTCACAAACTTTTCAACTAGAAAGTTGTAGTTTGCTATCAACCAATAACAAAAATACTTTTGAGTGCAGAGGGTTAAAATATATAGTTATTTTTTAAATTATAGTATTGAACTTATAGTATTGAACATATGATACATAAACATAGCAAAACAGACAGTAATAGCAAATAATAATAAAGAGTTATTAACTTCAAAATAATTCAACAAACTTTTCAACTAAAGAGTTTGAAAATTGCTATCAACCACCTTCGAGTGCAAAGATTTAATTGTATCATACAAAGATACATTTAGAAATTTGTTAATGACAGAAACATTTATCTGACATCGAAAGCAAAATAAATAAATAATAAATAAACATAAATTAGCTCATACAACGATTCTTAATTCTTGATCAATCTCAATCTAAAATCCATCGTTTTGCCGGGTTCTGTAAATCTAATGTTAAACTGCCAGAAATGATAAGAATGAAAATGAAGTACCTGTGACACGTGAATTGGGAAACCTTTCCCATCCTGGCCATCAAGTTTGCATGTATCGACTGACATTCGGGTTACTGAACGATTCGAATAGTGACTATCGACGTTAACACCGTCTTTCACGATGGCGACCCACTGTCTAAGTTCATCCACAGGCCATGCACCCCTAGCAATGGCTCGGGGAAAGAAACGTAACACACAGCCACACTTCCTTTGTGTGTTACGGGTAAAGGGTTTCTCGCACACCCTATTTTAATACGATAAAGAAACGCGTTCAAGACCTGTATAACGAAGCAAAATATACTCGCATGTTTACTAGAAATCGTGCCATACATTTTACTTTAACCCATTAATTCCCGGAAGTATGATATTTTCATACTACTATTTTCTGTTATGAAGAAAAATATATGAGTATGGCTTCTTTTATGAAGAGAGGTATATGAATTCTGTTCTTTCATGAAGGAAAGTAAATGTGGGTGGATAATTTAGGGAAATAGGTATTTACTTATAGTACTATAAATATTAAAAGTGATATCGACAATTGCAGTAATAATGATTAAACAGAAAACAATGATGTTAATTTTTTCCGATCGAGATCTGGAGTATTTACTTATTAATTCTTTGCGATCGTGTGGAATAATTACTTCTAAAGCTATAAATATTAACTTATTGCGACAAAAGTCCGGCGAAAGTTCTATATTTTCAAATATTACAACTGCAAACAGCTTAAATTCAGCTTTTGATTTAATGCAACAACTTAAAAGGGGTATTTTTTAACTACATTTGTATTGTTAGACATGTAATGTATGAACATAGTGAAATGGACGATAGGTACTATTATAATAATAAGAGGAAAATAATACTTCCAAAAAATTCATAAAATTTTTCGGTATGTTATCAATTTCAAAATTTATCAAAAAGTTTAATCGTCCTCCAGCAGCAAAAGAACTTCTGATGTATACTGTAAATATTTACTCAAGGTAAAAAACGTAAAATAAATATAGAAATGTGTGTATACATTTTTATATTGTAATGGGTTAAGCTAAGAATTGCAAATAGAAAATGGTTGAAATATTCTCCGAAAATCATTGTATAAACATTCGCATATGCGTACCATAATATTTATATTTCAAATATAAATTTCGACTGAAAGGCAAATATTCATAAATAACAAATTATTTTTTATTTGTACAGTAATATGTTCAAGAATTTTTTAATTAAACCCAATTATTTCAAATGCAAAAAATATTGTATAATCCGAATAATAAATATACGAATCATTCTGTTAAAATTTATTTTATTATCCTATGGAATAACTACATTTTATTCGAAATTTTTATTATATTCGAATATCTTTGTTTTGTTTTTAATTTACGTTTGAAAATTATTCAAATAATATTAAACTTTGGATTTATTACAGTTGTCGCTTAATTTTGGCGCACAAATCATGCAAATTATATGCAGCTTACTGACATTTAATATTTGTTTTCTACAATTTACTATTCATTACACATAACATTATTCTTTTATTATTTTCAGTTCGCGAAAACGTTAATTAAAGGACGAATTAAAGAAGATACTTTTAACGTAACTCTAAAACTTATTAATTTAACCTTAATTGTTTATTAATTTTAACCATATAATAAATATTTGCTATTACGTCGAAAATGAATTGAAGAATTGATTATTAATAAAAGTAAATCAATTTTTTAATATACTTTAAAAAATGTAAATTCGATATAAAATTTGATGAAGCCATGCGATAAAATGAACTCCCTTCGTAGCGTAAAAAGGTACAAAACAAATTTTGCTTCCAATCCAGAAAATAATGTAGTTTTACGAGAGGTACGGTGCTGCCAGTGGTGTTCAACGTTATTTAAGTTGACATTTCAGTCAGCGAAAACATTTATTGAAACTTTTTGGTAGGTTTCAGTTCTATAAGAATACAGTTCGATACATATTGAACTTTTGTACAAATTTTAGAAATATAAGAAGCATTAGAATTACAAAATACAATTAGAAATATAACGAACTGCTTTCCAAAACATGATTTCTATTATTTTATTGACGTGTTCTAAAATATCGTAATTAAAACAATTTTTCATTTTTGCAACTTTCATTAATATCATTGATCTATAATTAAATATTAACATAATATAATATATCTTGATGTTCAAAGTAACTTTACTCATTTTATGATCAAATGATATAACAATTACTCAGTGAGAAATTGACGCAAAAATAATTATTAATTTTAATAGCTTTTTCTAAGAAATCCTATTCTGAGAAATTTTACAAAAATGACAGAAATGGAAATCGTAGTTGGTTTCGAGAAATGTGCATACAAATATTAAAATTGAAATGTTTTTAATATATCGTAAAGTTTCAAAACTGTCTACAATTTTTAATATAATTCTGCTATTTTATTATTTCATTATTACAGTCGGAATTGTACAATAAATAAGTCACTGAAAACTGTTTTAATTATAATCTTCTTCTCAGACTCTCTTTGCATAAAGAGAATCCACATTATATTGTAACATTGTCTGCTATTATTTATTTAACATTCATACAACATCTAAAAAAACTGAATTATATTATACCTGTCCACATTATCCCATAATAAAATGTTTTTATTCCAAGTCAGAAGAGAAATTTTTCTTAATTAATTGTTCAAAATACTATATTTAATCAGACAGCTGATGTAAAAGATATTGTATACTTTATAACTTTTCTAAAATTAGATTATATTGTGTAACCTAACCTTTTCTAGTAGCTAAAAAGATTAATTTATTAGATAATGTTTCGTTTGAAAAAATTACAATTAGTCGAAGTAACAAAGAAATAGGTGAAAATTATTTATTTTCTTTTTACGAGAAATTTTTGTCTTAAGTTATGTTATCGTCTCACCCTTATTCTCTGTAACAATGAAGACAATAAAACAACATTGAGAACCACTGCGGCCGGAACACCTCTGAAGGAACTATTTTGTTTTCTGGATCGAAAACAAACTTTTCCGCAAGTGTTTTCGTAGGAATGAAGTTTGCTCTATTGCATAACATAATTAAATTGTGCATCACGTCCATGCTTATCAAAGTAAATTGAAAGTTATCCCATGAAGTTGACCCGCGGCGAATTGTTTTCCAAATTGAATAATTATTTAAATACAGTTAAATATTCATAGGATAATGAAAACTGATATCACTGTACTGAGAAAAGTTTACAGAACCATCTCCCACAAAAAATGAAGGTATAAATTATGTAAGCAGAATGGAAAATTTATTTAAACGCTCAAAATATTCATTCATCTTTAATTTAATATCATGAAACAAGTATATATTCGACATTGAGGAAGTAAGTGTGTAAACTTGAAAATTTTTGGATTCTGAACTTTTCAAACTTTCAAATTTGCAAATTTCGATATTTTAATATTCATAAATTTTTAAAATTTTTAAATTTATAAATTTTCAAGCTTTCATTTTCCCAAACTCTCAAATTTTCGAAGTTATATATTCTCAAATTTGAAAATTTCTAATTATTCAAATCACCCAATTCCCAAATCTGTAAAATTTTTAATCCTCAAACTTCTAAACTTCCAAACTTTCAAATATTTAGATCACCCAATTCCCAAATTTGTAAAATTTTAATTTCTCAAATTCCTAAATTTCCAAATGCCCAAAAATTCCCATATCTGAAAACCTCTAAATTTTCAAATCCCCAAATTTCCAAATCTAAAAATTTCTAAATTCTGTAGACCTTATTCCCAATTTTGAAAACTTCTAAATTTAAAAATTCCCAACCTTCCAATGAGCCAAACCTAAATCTCTAAATTCTCAAATTCCTATATTTCTCAAAGTATAGTCTTAAATTTCAAAATCTGCCAACCAGAAACCAAAAAGTGTAATGGAACATGTTCACAATCATAAATTTCAACAATTGCATAGATATTTATGTGATATTTATCTTGATTAAAATATCTGTTACAATTCGTAATACAAATTCAATAGAGAACAACGATAAACGATTATAATACTTTGAATCAATTTATTTCTATTATCTCGTACGGTAGAATTGAAACAAAGCAATAAAGTAAATCACTGGGGGAACGTTGACATGTTTAGCAGGCTTTCAACTCTAAAACTATGTTAACAAAGGTTTATTCGAATCCGTAATTTGTAGGTCATTACGGGTTCCAAGTTCCATGACCTCTGATGGCCGAAAATTCCAACCAATTGTCACAATCATTATCCGTGTTTTTATACTTAATTATGCATACGATCGTTTCGTATTGTTTATCAGATTTACTAACGCGATTTAACGATACCTGCAATTAAATATTAAGCATTTCATTATCACTGCTTACGGCAAATGAAATGCAAATGTAAGTGATGACAGCGCTTTTGGAACGAAACCAGCAACGCCTGATAATATTAAAGCGAAAAATTAATGTATTTATTCAGTCGAACATTCGATTCAATATATTCGAACATTTATATGGTTGACTGTCCAGTGATACACACATAAAACAGGAGATTACTAAAGTATCTGAATATGTAAATTAATTCTATATTAATTAATGCTAATCTATAATTATAATTTAATTGTATTATGGTAATTACATAATAGAATGTGAAATGGATTTGGCATATGTACTGATTTTGTTAATACTTTGAAATATAAACATATAATTAAAAATGATAAATATGTCTCTGCATACTTATAGTTTGTATAGCATATTTACAGAATGCTTTCTCTTGTATACATATATTCCATGAAAAACAAGTAAAATAAAAAAACTAATGTTGATTCAACTAACTAAAAAATTCAATTATCGTTTTATAACTTCTGCATCCTAGAGAGTATACAATTTTATTAATAAAATGTCGACTCAAAACAAAATTTATAATTGTTAAATATTATTGAGGAACTGGCTAGATAAATACTATTATGGCTATTGAAATAAAGTACATATTTACTCATGCTTATAACATAAATTTATTATAATACTTTTCTTTTGTTGTAAAACATTAATTAAAAAGTATTGTATCACTAAACTAGGAATATACTTTTAAAAATTTGTCTGCAACGTACACTATATTTTTATTGTTATATAAAATAAAATAATCTTCAATCATTTATACTGAACATAAGTATACAGATTACAGAAACTAACTAAACAGTTACATTAACAAAATACGGGACGTAATAGCTAAGTACCGACATAAAACTAAAAACTTCTATAACCCATTCAGAAAACGCAATTTTGAATAAAATAGCATTGATAATACTCTGATTTAAACTAAAACAAATATTCGTAAATAGAAAACAACATATTTCATTTTAAAATAGCGAATCGAACGAGATTCAAAAATAACATCGAAAGAGTTTCTCGTTTCGATGGGAAACCATTCGATTTGACTTGGTTGTAAATCAATTCGCTACATAGCATGAAAAGTAGTTGTATAGATATACATAGGGCTTCTCTATATGCTGTCACTTGAATCAGGATTAGTCAACCGTCGCGTCGCGACGCCGCGGTTTCTGCAACGAAGACAGCCATGAATTAGCTTCGTAGCCTGGCATCAGAAATTTAGTAGTCTCTCTCCTAATCAAGTCAACTGATTGCTAGGTTCCTCCTGGTTAACTGAAAAAAATTGATTGTCATTAATACAATTTATTTTACCACGGGATACGCAATTACATTTAGAACATCGTTAATTTTTCTCCACAAATATTCGTAATTAAAAAATACGATACACAAGATCAATCTTTATCAATCTTGTTGAACTATTCGTTTTTTAAGTAAAGTTTAACAAGGGTTAAGAAAACTTTAAAAAGTAGTTTGTCTTGTAAAATAATAGTAGATTTCTGTGTATATATACCTTTTCACACAATAAAAATATCAGGTACAATAATTATTTTGTTCCTTTTAATAAAAAATAGTTTAGGTAAACTTGATTGTCTGGACTGCTTAAAAATAAAATTTAAAAATATATTTGTATATATTTTGTCATCTACTATTCTCTGAAAGACTTATGTATCTACTTTTGGTCTCAAACAAAATATTATTATAGACAAAACAACTATTTTTAAGACTTTACAGAAACCTTTATTTTTTTTAATGAAATAGTTTTTTTAAGTCCATTTCTTGGACTATTCCATGCAAAAGAGTATGACAGTTTAAAGTTTAAAACATCAACAGTTTGTGAGATATTTTAAATTCAAAAATGAGGTGTATAATACATATAAAAATTTGTAATAAACCATTGATTAATCTATCATTGCACCCTAATACTATTTTACACTGAATTCTTCAATAAATCAATATACCTTTAAAGAAACAAAGGTTACTGTAATCTTGCGGACTCCATTTAATTAAAACATACATCCACAATAAATAACAAAGAATATTCTGTTCAAAATATTTTTTGAGAAACGAATAGTTTGAAAACTTTATACTTATAACAATAACACGATAAATATAAGCAAAATCACAGCTTAATAATACTGTTCTTTTTTCTTTTTAAATGTTACATTTTATAAAGTTAAAACTTAAGGCTTTAATACCTCCTTTTGTTTTTAAAATCGTTGAAGCCTGATAACATCGAATGTGCGGTTTTCGAATATTAAGAAAGTTACATAAATTCTCCAAGATTCTCCAGCTCATCAAAGATATAATAAATATCCTGAGTAGACACTCCAGAGTTTTGAATAACAAAACGAAAGAAATTGGGTTTTTCGTGAAGCGGTTGGTAATTTATCATTAGACTGCCTCTTTTGACCATCTTCTCCTTTAATTTTGGTGCAACCTAGTAAAAAAAATAATGCTTTTAACACGTCTAATATTTTCTCTTTATTCTTTCTTTAATTAAATGCATCATATTTAATAATGAAACACATTCATTTTCAAAAATGAGTTCTGTATTTTTTCACAATCAATTACTGTCTGTCGACTACGAAATTTCAAACCGTCTTTTCATTAACTGTCGGTATAAATGAGATTTCTTTTATCGTTTAAGTGAAATACCTACAGCTGGTATAATAAATTCCAAACGATATATAAAATACAGATTTCTATAATATCTACTACCGATATAATAAAACCTGTAAATCTGTTACTGTATTATTAAATCATTATCATTTTTTAATTTTCCAAATATACAAATGTATATCAGACAAATTATGAATAAGTATTACTTACAAAATTTTACAATAAACTACTAAATATATGATAAATTTTAAATTACAATTTGCACATTTTTCATTCTTATCAACTGGACTTCGTATTTATTATTTATAATATGTAACCTAATTTGCATTTTATAAATGAAAATAAATATTATTTAAACTAATTATAAACATTTTTTAAATACTTGAATATAAGGTGAAATTACTTCAATAAACCGTAAAGGAAGTCTTAATTTTCTTTATATTATGTTTAAATATTTTATAGTAAACAACATTTTGATGACTATAGTTGAAATTATAGACATTTTGGAAGATTTATTTAACTTACTTTGTTTAGTTGATTTTTATAGTCGCACAACAGATTTTGATTTCTCAGAGATGGTGGAATGAACCAGAAACATACGTTTATGAAACATGACTCCGTTACTAATTCAAAGCCATCCCTCTTCTCCACCTCCTCTTTAAAAAGAGCTGATAGTGTCATTAAATGGTTCACGTGTTTCTCAAAACCCGAACTACCCTGAAACAAATTTATTTTTAATTTTGTAATGGCATAATAATAGATAAAATTGAATTATCAAAATGCAATGTAGAAATAATTTTTACATTTACATATTATATATAAAATATTAAAATAAACGTTACAACGCCATCTAAAGTATTTTTTACTATACTATACTATACTATGTAATTTTCAAAACAGACGTTCACGCTTGCATGCAAAAGAAACGCTTCTTTCTAAGGAAATATAAAAAGAAACTAAACAAGAAGGTATTAATTCTTTATATAAAAATTTGATTGTTCCAAAATTATTGGTATATATTTGTATTAAATAATTTGATACAAATTAATACTTCTTCAGTGACTGTAATAAAATGAAAGAAAGAACGTTTTGATGCAATGGATTCAGTAGAACCTTCTTATGTGTTTCATTTTATTAATCATTAATAATTAGTAAATTAACATTCTGCAAATATCAAAATCAAAATACAAACTTTGTATATATTTTTAGTTAATAACACATGTGCTATAATTCATTTTATTTTTTTTATTAGTATGTATATCCCAATGAGATAACTTGTTCAAGTAAATCTATTTTTATAAATCTATATCAATCATTGATGTTTTTTAAATGTTTTTTTTTAATTCATATAGTAATAAAACAATTTTTTAATTGCACTATTTTATTATACTTATATTTTGTCAAATTTCAAAGAATTGTCTAGAAGAAAAATATACGAATTTTGACAACATACTAATATTAACTTTGTAAGATTTATAGTAATAAAATTTTTAATCCACTGAGACAAGATTGAAATATGTTGATTAGAATTTAATATGAAAATGCTTGGAGATTGACAGAAAGCGTAGAAGTTCCTGGTCTAAAAGAACTGCTATCGGCAGAACCCCTTAAGTATTTCAGGAACTCCTTTTATGATCTTCAAAATGCACTGAATAGGTGCAGTATGAACATTCTTTATTCCTAGCAGGGGAAGTTAATATATGCATAAGTATACTGGCAAGCACTTGAAACATAGCGTACAGACCCTTATCTTGTACGGAGTGCATCGCAGTAGCTGCTTAAACCACAAAGTACAAGATGCACAATTGAAGGAAGATCAGGGGAAAAAGTGCTACCAAGGCTAGTTTTTAACATATTTGCATAAGTGGTTGACACTTAAAGATTAATAAGGGGAAGAGAGAAACCTCTATATAATGCAAAATCTTGTCTTACGTTCACCGAATGAGACTGCAAGACTCTCTATATGAAAGCATTTCTACACAGACAATATTTTACACCAAAAATAGACCAAACAACATCAAATAAATAGGAGCAGATTTAAGTGAAGGTTTGAATTATAATGTTACCTTAGCTTGCCACATGAACCAAAATTTCAGCACATCTGGTCTACGTCCGCACTGTAAATACTTGTCACCAACATCTAAATCAGTGGAATAAAATTTATCTTTTTGAAAGAGATAAGGGGCTTGTTTAGAATGTGCTTCCTTGAAAATATTCTCATGCTTAGACAAAAGTACTGAACACTGTTGAGGAATTGCCAGCAATTTGTGCGGATTAAATAAAATGGAATCTGCTCTTTGTATTCCTCTCAAGAGAACACTGTGTTTTCTGCTGAATATTAAACCTCCACCCCAGGCTGCATCAACGTGTAACCACATACCAAATTCTTGGCAAACATCTGCAATTTCAATTAACGGATCAAACGCGCCCAGAACCGTCGTCCCTAAAAACGAAAATAATTATTGATAATTATAGTCGTACACCAGTCATTAATATTCTTCCTTTCTTCTTATCATGTTTTTATATCTTCATATGCATATTTCGATTTACACTTTCATTTACCGTACCTGCAGTAGCGGATACAGAAAACGGGTAATTCCCTTTCTTTTGTTCTTCTAATACATGAACTCGTAAGTCGTTGACATCCATTCTACCGTATTCGTCTGTTTTTATTAGAATAACTTCCACGTCGCACACGTTTCCCCATTTAGAAACCGAATAATGTGCATCTTCGGATGTAAATAATGTCAAATTTGATGATGGAATACTTTTATTCTAAATATACAATTATGGATTAATAGATATTTTTATTCGCTAAAAGGTTTAATTCTATACAGTTTTAATTATACAAAATTTCATGAATATATTTGTAATACTATTTATTTTTAGAATAGAACTGCTCGAATCATTATTAATAGTAATTATATTATTTATTATCTACTTATACCAAAATTAAAAGTTCAGCTTCATTTATAACCGTAATTATGGCATGCACATGATGTCTCTAATAAATTAAAATTATAAAATTGGGAGATTAAGAATGTTAAAAATTTATGTAAAGGATATTTAAAAACGTTAGAGTTAAGTTTCAAGAATGTAAAGTACTCATCATAGTACTTACCAAAAAACCTCTAAAAAAGAAGAAAATTAAAATTACCTGCATTTATGACACATGTTTAATATATTTTTTATTTACTTGAATACATACGTATGTTCGCACTTTTTCATCATTTTGAAGAAAAATTTTAACATTTTTTTTTGAATTTGTATACTCAGATTACCACTACTAAATATCAGTTATTTTGTTACGAGCTACAAGCTTATAATTGAAAACATCTTATAACTCAAAACTTAATAATTTTTGTGCCATGTTTAAGACTTATTCTGAGTTTATTTAATTATTGTTCTTGAAATTTGACTCAACTTTTTTTTAGAGTGCTTTCGACCTTACTTCGCTTTATCAAGAAATTTCGAATTTAATAATCCATAACTTTATTATGAGAATCGTTAAAAAATTTTTGATGAAAGAAATTATTAGTTATAATCGTATATACATTTGTTCAGATACTTACGTTTTCAAATTTCTTTCTAAACCAAAATCGAGCCAAGTTAATGGCAATACCATTAGCGAACGACCCTCCTGGACAAAAAAGACCATCTCCAACCGTAAAACCATTCTCTTCATTGTAAAACATACTTAACAGTTTTGTTATTAAAGTTTTTTCCATCAGTGTTAAGACAGGTGCCACTTCGTAAGTATATACCGAAGAGTTTAATACGTCGGTGAGCCATTGTCCGGCTAAACCGTAAGGATCCAATCTAAATAAATTTTAACAAAACAATTCATTTTCTGTGAAATTTTTCACTATTCATAAATATCAATTCCTCTTCATTTATTCGTTTTTTTTTTATTGTGTTGAAAATGAGAAACAGTGACAGCTTTTTTAAAATCTTAGATTTAAAAGTCATATTTTCATTACACAAAGTATTCTTTATCATATATTTTGTTGAGACATTTAAGATTTTCCAAGCATTATGTAAACTATTTTGCAATTAATATATATTTGTATACTATTTGTACGAAATTTAATATTTTTTTAAAAATCAATGTACCTCCATACTTTTTGATATGTGGATAATACATACAGAATGTATTTATGAAAAATGTAGCTTTGATGATGCATCCGACACATTGCCATTTTGTAAAAAGGATTATAAGGAAATATGTTCTGTATATTTAAAGTTCTTATAAAAAATTATCGATTATGTAAATTATTTTAAATAAATCGTAAAAGTTAGGTGTCACTTTTAAATTTCACTTTAAATTCCTGAATATATAGTCCTTTGTTTTATTGCTTGAAAAAATAAAATTATTTAATTATAGATTTCGATATTGAAATCAATATATTGTATCTACGAATATTCTCACATATCTTTTTTAATGTAATAAAGTTAATTAAAAAGAAATTTAATAAGTTGAAAAATTTCTGACGGGAAAATAAAAAAAGTATGAATCAATGAAAAACATAGCCTAATATTTAATACATGTTATATTAGTTCATTGATACGTGTTGTTTATAATACTAATAATCTATTACAAAATTCAACAAAGCTGCAATACAAAAATTGTACTATTTACAATTTCTAATACGAAATGAATTCGTATTAATTGCGTATTAATTAATCGACTTAATCGTTCAAAATTTTCCGAATTTGAATAAAATGAGAAATGAAATCAAATAAAATTAAAATTACATGCGGTTAGATTGAAAATTCTGTAAAAAACGTGTTCAGATCTGGCTCAGTAATTTTTCAGATCCACTTTTTCGCCAAAGTGGCGAATTATAATTGCATTTATGTAAAATTATAATAAACTTGATAATCAACTGTTTCATTTAATGCGGTTTATTTACCAATCAAAATTACTAGTAAAGAATGTCTTTCATTATTTTAAAATCCATTCCATAAATTTACTTCATTGAATTATTTATTACCTTATGAACCTTATAATCTTTATGATCATTCTAAAATTAAGTTTATGCACTTAAAAGTATCTTACCCGGAGAATAACTGATTCATAAAGTAGGGATGGCCTGTTTTCACGCTGTACTTAAAAACTTTAATCGCCATTTCTAAGAGACTATCCTGGCTTCGTGGCTCCTCCTCTAAACTGAAGTTTATTATATCTTGCAGGTGACCTGGTTCCCTCCATCTCAATACAGGATTTTTACGGGACACGCTTTCGAAGGTGCAATCGATCAAGGCCGCGATAAACTTCTCGAGAAATTGTTTGTGTCTCTCCTCGCATGGTATACTGCGCCAATCCGACATTAATATGTAAAATGCCTAACACCAGAAAGCGTCGTGAAAATGGGAAAGCAGCTTGAAGCAAAATACGCACTGATCCGCTCACGATTGACCTCTATCGTATATAACTGAAGCGCAAGGTCTTGGTAAATTCGCCCAATTGCCCTTAACGAGGAAACAAAAGCGCAGCATTCGGGGTAATAAATTAATGAGGCATTACCAACGGTTTGCATTGATTGTACTGACTTAAATGTGCGAATAAATTACACGAAATAAACCTGGTAACATTAATTAGCATTGGTGATCTTAAAAGTAAAGCAACAACGTTTAAGGAAAATAGAGAAACAATATTTATTCAATCTCATTCAGATAATAATCTCTAATATGTACAAACTACTTGGCACAGGATTATGTACAATTATGAAATTACAAAATTATGTTGCGCATGGAACATTAGTTACTCTTTGAAGCCTTGTAATTCTCCAATACCAAGAAGAAGTAGCTTGATGTGAGCGTTTGTCTTTGCTACTTCTTTACGGAGATGGGTAATCTGTTGTTCTAGTAATTTAATTCGTACGTTAATAACTGCTAGAGCATCGTTTAGCGATAATTCAACATAATGTCCTAAACCAATGTCCAAAAGAATGGTGGAGGCATCAGGAATGTGTGCTTCGATGAAGAAATTCTGTCCTACATCTACTTGAGTTTTGAAACCGTTTTTATCTAAATCATTGTTTTGAAGAGTAGTTATTGTCGATTTTAGTTGAAGGAACTCTCCGATATCTGCATTCTTAGCATCAATTTTTTGCTCTAACTTAGCAAGATCCTCTTTCAACACTTCATTGATAAATGTTTCAAACTTTAAGATCTTCTGATCAATATCAGGATTCATAATTGAACTTCCTGTACAACACAGAAACTAGAAGAATGTTTAAAGATCATTTGATTCATAGAACTATGAAGATAAATACAGAAAGCAATCACAATATAGGTTAAGTTACTTGAATAGTTCATTTTTATATGAAAACTTGAATTTATCATTGTATACACTTACCAGAAGCAAATGAAATTACTGAAACTTTTCACAGAACAATTTTGTAACTTTTATATTATGTTAATCTTGTTTAAAAACGGAGTATTGTTAATTGTTGAGGTTAACATAAACATCATTATTAGTATAATTGTATGAATTTTACTTTATCATTTGAAATGCCCACAAACAAAAACAAACGTTAGTTAGTAATCTTATAAACTTTCTGAGATGAAAAACAAGTTCATGAATATATTAAGTCAAACAAAACATTACTTAGGAACGAAATTTACTTGAATGTTTATGACAGAGCGCCAACTACTCCCCTGGTGAGAATCCTTGGTGTTATTATTAGCGCATCTTGTTGATATAGTAGATTTCTATAGTTATACTAAAAATTTTATCTCTTTATCCATGTGACAAATTCAGTAAAAATAAGTTTAAATTTTTATATTGTATTTTTTACTAGATGTTATTAAAATTTGAAAGGTTTAATTATTTTAGTGATTTCAATATTAACAATGTTTCTAAACAACGCAAATAATCTTTATATAGAAAAATACTTGTCATCATGGAAATTCAATATTTGTTATAAACTGACATTTTTGCAACCTGTTTATATTTTTATCTTTCACAAAATGTAACAATATGAATATCAATGTAAAATCCAAAGTCTATGACTCAATTTTATTCATTTATAATTTTTAATTCGATCTTCGACAACCTAGGAGTTTAACAATGTTATACGTTTTTAATAAACGTATAGTTAAAATAATTACCAAGCTACTTTTTGTACAATGAACATAAAAACATATTATCAACATTCCACATGAACTTACTGGTGTAAAACTTGCAGTTCACAAAGCCATAATCTCGATTTTTTAGCAGAAAGCGATGGCTGGATGAAGTGATGGATTATTATTGAATAGCAGGATATTGCATATTACAGAAATATAACGTGCTCGTGTAAGATGCAAGAAAAGTCGCCAAGCAATCATGTTGTTTTAACTCGCTGATTATTGCTGATGCTATCAGTGATTGATAACTACGTAAATTTGATTCAAAAATAATTTACTTTTTGCATTTCAAATTACACTGTTTATGAATTGAATTTGAATTTGAAAAATAGAATAATCTACTTTGAATTATAGTGTGCCTTGTTTTTGTATAACAACGTGGTGTCCTCATTGTTCCCTCAAATCAATGCTATCATATTTTAAGAATAAAAATATGTAATGTAACAACGTATTTGATGTATATATTATACATTATTAAATATTACTTCAGTGAATTTTTACTTATTCGAAATTTTAAATAAAATTTGCTGAAAAGAATTAATAAAAAAATATATAATGCATTTACTGTAATGAAGGAAAATCAATGACGAATTCATAATGTGATAAGTTTAACATTTGATAGGGCTATTTTTAAAAATGGACATCTCTTTAAAAGTTAACTAACATGAGTAAATATCTATAAATATTTTTAAATTGCATTGAACGGAAATTAGCCTTATTTCGTACTTTTGTTACAATTTGTTAACAATTTAAATTGAGTTACTAAAAATGAATAAAAATGCGGTTGAAAGTAGAAACTGTTTCTGATTAATAGATTCATGGAATAAATATTATTATTCATAGGTCATATTTTACTTAAAATATATACAATCAAACCAGTCTCATGGAAACTTATTTATTTGCTTATTCAACGTATTTATCAGAGCTTTAGATCGTCAGAAAACGCTTGTAGAGCTTCACATTGCTGTTTTCACATCACCACGTGTTAGTACTTCGTAAATTAACGTGACAAGTTGGTAATTTGTGAGCATATTACCTACTGAGCGACAGAATATGACGTAGATTTACATAGTAACTGAGAATCGCACAACGCTCACCTTTTTACCTTTGCTCAGCTGAGCGTATAATTCAGTCACGCACAAATAACTCTACAGTCTACAGTTCGGAGAAAACTATGAAAACATTGCAAAGAAATTACTCATTTGCACATTTAGATTTGTTTAGAAAGCGACTACATAATTTAGGAGAGGAATGCAAACATTTTGGTAACAAAATTAATTGAAAATTTAATTAAATTTATTTAATTTTTTAATTAAATTAATTTTTTATGTTAATCAATTTTAATTGAATTGAATTTTAATTAAATAATTACCGAAAAATTCAGAAGTATATACCACATGATTTGTTATCTTTTTTGTTTATATAAGTAGGTTTCAGTATAAAACAATAATTCTGCGCCATTTTTAATTTATATTTCAATAATTTCAATGATATCTCATGTTTAGTTTCAAACATATATTTTGAAAAATGTTAATTTCTTCAAGAAAATAATGTTTTAATTAACTTCACTGTAATAAATTTCATTTAGATTTAAAAGTAACTAGACGATTTTCCAGGATTTTTAAATTTAAGAAATTTTCGGGTACAAAAGAAATTTGAGAATTTTGTGACTCGGAAATGTAAGAGTTTAGAAATGAGAAAATTATGAAATTTAAGAACTAAGTGATTTCGAAATTTAGAAATTAAAAATTTCGAAAAGTGAAAATTTACAAACTGAGAAATTTAAGAATTTAAGTATTGAGAAATTTGGGAATGTTAAAATTTATAAATTACGAAATCTGGAAATTTGAGAAGTTGTATACTTGAAATTTTGGAAATTCAAAAATTTGAATGTTCGTGAAGATGAAAATAATTTGGAAATTTGTGAATTTGTGAATTTGGGAATTTGTGAATTCATATATTTATAAACATGTAAATTCGTAAATTTGAAACATTTAATAATTCGACATTTTAATAACCTAACAATTTGAAGTCTCAAATATGTAAGAATTTAAAGAAATGTATAAACCTCTACCATTGATTAAGTTGCACGACTGAAGGACTTTCCCTTTCTTATATCGTTATTTTCTATAGGAAAGGCGCCCTGGCTCATCTTGCACACAAATCGTAGCTACGGCAATGTATATACTATTGTTTTTCTAAAATAGTAGTTGCGATATATAGTCGACGTGTGGCGATATATTCGAGAGGACCTCGCGACAGTATGAAATCAACCATAGAGCAGAGAACATCGTAGTTTATCATTCAAAGAAGTTTAAAAATCTCAAATGGAACAGTCTCAGTGTTGCGTTAGTGAATTAGCTACTTGTATTTAAAAAATCTAGGTATTACGGTAAGTATTGAATTGTATTTTGCAGTAATATACTGACCTGTATCATTTTATTTAATTCTTTATCGTACGTTAAATAGATTTTTAATATTTAGTAAATTGCCTCATTGGAAATAAAACCGCATATTTGATTACGGTACAAAATTGAATGCTAAGATTTTTCTCATATTTATTATACATAAAACAAATCTCTTTTAGATTGTATGCCACCTGTAATCATATTAGAACGTGCTAACAAAATTTGTATAGAAATCTGCAAAGCACTATGTACATACTGTCCAGAGTACGAGAGAAAACTAGCGGGATGGGAACGGGGCTAGAGGGACGAAAAAAGCATCGCAGTGGTTAGATTGTAACGTTGCCGCCTTTTGTCATACACATTTTCGGCAATAACGCGCTATTTGTCGAGGCGCACACATACACTAATCGGTCGCATGACGCGGAGAGTGGGTCAGATATATGTAGAACAAGCGAGACAGAACGAGCGATGCGTCGAGCGGCACTCCAAAGTTTTACGCATCGCGTAAAAGGAAAAAGATAGAGTTTTTTAACATATAGTAACAATATTTGTTTCGACACCTATGTAAAACCACACTATTACGGATGAACGGTGGGAGCTACGCGTGAGTCGAAAAGTGGGGATTAGGTGGTCCTAGCGGCCTACCCTCTTTGTCCCGTTCCCGTCCCGCTAGTTTTCTCTCACACTCTGAACAGTACGTGAAAGCCGTAATTATTTCTCTTTGATATTACGTAAAAGGAGGAATGTGCAATTATGTGAAAAGGCATGTGGCTTTGACAAGTAAAAGTGATCAAACACTCTACTAAAATTGCAGAGAAAAATATCGTATAGTTCCATGTTCCTTACAACGTGTATTTAAATTCTTTACACCTGTGCTGTAATTTCTCGAACTAAAATTGAAGTACGTGGAAATGAAGTATAATTCACAAATGTTTGCAATATATTTATTTTTAAATGTACTTTATAACATTGCAAAATGAATGACTCGTATAAAAGAAACTGCAAAAACAAAAATTTATTCATTATTTTCTATATGAAAAAAACAAATAAAACACGAAATAACATTTTTTCATTTGCAATTTCGTTCTTGAAAAAATTTTCAAAATTCTTCAAAATATATATGAGATAATTTGTTTATACACAAAAACTGAAGAGAAAATTTTCAAAAGTTAATCCAATTAGGTTTTATACATTCACATTACTTACAGATATACTACATGCATTACACTATATGTACATATCTTAGTGTTTGTACCACACGTATTAACATATGTAATATTACAAAGAATTGGTAAAATATTTCAGAGATACATAATTGATAATACATTTTAAATATAATAATAATTACATTTATCAATTGATAACGTATGCAATATTATGCATATTAAAGAATAATAATTAATAATACATTTTAGAAATAACAATCACATTTATCAATATATAATGCATTAAAACTTTGTTAACATCTCTATTACTTTCTTTTAAAATTGAATGTTTTTATAAACGAAGCCTCTTACGATAAAATTAGATCGAATATTTTCGATTCATGAAGCATCATTCCCGTCTCACCACAATACTCCCCAAGTTGCAGCATCCGTACTGGAACACCTGTATGACTGACACGCAACAGAAAAATGAATAATTCATTTTCAAAATACAACATAACCTCTCACCCGATTCGTTAAAAAGGAATAAAAATTTGATAAAATGAAACGCTCAATAGTTTATAATCTGCGCACCACACGCGACGTCTAAATGTCTGATATATTCAAGAACATAAAAAATGACCAAGTTCATTAACAGCATCGTGTAGGGCTATTAAGGTCCAAATTATTCGAAAGAATTTTTTTGAAGGTTGCGGTGTGCCCGTCCGTGTGTTGTACGTATTCGCGATTCGGAGTTCCGTCTAATAAATTGAGTGTGTTGGAACTTAACCCACGGTTGTTTAAATCCAGTGATTTCGGATAATACCGGTTCGAGACTGGCAATATGCAGAAACTAGTAATCTCCGAGTTGCAACCAAATAACCTCTTTGGTTTTCAAGGTGCACGATTAACTTGTCCCACGGACGCTGGAGAATATCGTTGCGACACTTGCCCTCCATTAC